CGAGTAGAGTAGTGCTGCCACTGCTAGACTTGTTGACAGCATTTGGGCCAAACAGTACCCAACCGAGGCGCGTCTTCCGGGCTGTCGGGCCTCCCTCCGTGGGGCACGCACGCTCCTCAAGAGACGCATGCATCTCTGCCGCGTCTAATCCGATCAACAAGTCGACGGCAGTGCTGGGATCCACCATCGGTGGCAAGCTCTGCAGGTGGCTCCAGCTCGCCTTCTGCTGCTCCCACTCGACGGGTGGCACGGCTGCAGTGATTGTGGGTAGCACCCATGCCTCCAGCTTGCCTTCGTAGGAACCGTCCAGGCTGGCGATAACAAGGCTGGCCTTTTCCGTTTCCCCGACGATAGAGCTGCCTCCGAGCACCGTCGTCTCCATGCGACACTTCTCTGTCGTGATGCCGGGACTTCGAACAAGACCCCCAGTGACATAGCTGGCTGACGAACCCGAGTCCAACAGTGCTGTGGCTTGTGCTGCCGTACTGTTTCCGTGGACTGTCGTCTGAATGGTCATGAAGGCTATGGTGTGGTCGGCACTGGTTGTACAGGCACTGCTGCAGGAGTCTTTCTGCGTCTTCTCATCAGGTTGGCTGGCCTTCTTCTGCTTGTCGTAGTGCAGCAGACTGTGATGGCCACCTGGGCACTTCTTGCATCCGGCGCTCTTGCACTCCTTCGCAAAATGACCAGGCTGCAGGCATCGCAAACATAGCCCCACCAGCTTCGCCAGGTCCCATCTCTTCTGGACGCCAAGGGTCAGGAAGTTGGAGCAATCTGCAAGAGCATGGCTGCCTCGACACTTCGGGCACGTCCTCCTGTCAGAAGCTGCGGTTCTGGGCTGAGCGTAGGCAGCTCTTGATGGTTCAGGCTCCGTCGGCTCGGCTGCCTGACTGGCGTTCGACACCAAGACCCTGTGCTTGCGCTGCTCTCTTTGAGCTGGCTGCTGATCACCGCCAGTTGAGAGGCGTGCATCAACGTGCCTCGACTGATTCACCCGTCTCATCAGCCATTGTGACAACTCCTGGGCATTGCTCCTGTTGTCGTCATGGCAATCCATGTAGCGTGACAGCATGCCACGTGGCAACTTCTGTGTGACCGCTACATACAGCTCCCTGCCTGGCTGCATTCCAGCAGTTGACATGTTCACAATGACATTGCGGAGCTTGACAGCGAGCTTTTGCAGCGACTCAGTGTCTTTCTCCATGACAATTCTGGGCAGACTCATGAGTTCCGTCTGCTGACGTTCTAGCTCGCGCTCACTGCTTCCGTACCAAGCTTCCAACTCCTCCAAGGCCGCTCTATATGCACCAGGCCCATCCAGCACCTCGCATATCAGTTCCTCGGCCTTGCCACCATCTAGCGCCTCTCGTAAGCGAGCCATCTTATAATCCTCGGTCACGGAGTAGTCATCATCCACCAGTCTCATAAATCTCTGGCGCCATCTTACGTAGCTCCTCTGCATGCCATCAAATCTGGGCAACTCCAGAGGCTTGACCTGATGTTGATTTATTCCTGCTGGTACTGGTACCTGCACTCTGTCAACCCAGTCTTGCACTCTCCTAGCACTGGCACACTGGTTGGCAGAAGGAGCCTGCAGTCTGGGATCAGCAGCCCTAGCAGTAGGAGTCTCAAAGTATGCACCACGTGCAGCGGCAGCCTCCCGTACAGGTTTGTGTGAGCTGGCAGGCTTGGACCTAGACTTGAATGCAGCTTGCACAGTGTTGGGTGCATGCCTGCTGTCACGGACACTTGAACCTGTCACTCCTGTGGTCAGCTCCGTGCTCTTGTCTGCACTCCGACTTGCACTGGTCTCAGCTGGATCACGAACATGTTCCCTGTCCCCCTTGTGCAACACAGCGGAACTCGGATCTTGAGCACACTGCAGTGACTGCACACGGCTTTCAACAACTACTTTTTTCTCGTCGCTTTTCACTTCATCAGCTCCGTTGGCTGCATGTTCTTCAACGACAAGCACTTCTTCCTCTACGTGCTGCTCTACTAGCACATCACTCCCCTGTAGTTCAACAGCTGCCATAGCTGCACTATCCAGCGGAGCTTGAGGTTGCTTGGGAAGCACGGTGACACATGTTTTGAATGTCAATCCCGAACTTTCATCGTCTGGTGAGCTCGACTGCGATGTCGATGAGAGAGAGACCTGCGCAGCCTCCATTTCCAGACGAAATATCCTTCTCTCTTGCTCCATTTTTTGCTCCAAGAAGGCTCGCTCCATGCGAGCCATTCTCAGCTCTGCCTGTACAACACTTGCTCGTCGCAACGACGACGCAGACGAGCTGATACTACTGCCAACAACACTGGCTCTGGTTGACACACTGCTTTCAGACACGGAGTCCACGTCCGACAGGCTTCCTGGGCTCAGACGACTTGCGGGTTCATTTCCCTCGTCCTGAAACCGTACAGGCAAGACACCTTGGTTGGATCGCGAACTTCTTCTTGGCGCAGCCATGTCAATCCGGCTCGAAGGACCAGAGAGGAAGACACGGAGGGCCACCGCGGGGGATGGGAAGGGGGAGGGGGGAGGGGACAGTGGGGGAGAAAACGGGAGAGGCAGCAGCAAAGGTTTCGTTCCTTACTGATTCATTTCATTTTTATTTAACTTTTTTTTTGTTTGGCGTGCATGAGCGGTGCTGATACCAAGATCCAAGGTCGGTTGAGCCGCTTCTGGCCCGCCTCCACTGCTTCGGCTGCCATCGCCATGTGCCCCCTGCTATCTCTTGCTGGCGTTGGCACTATGATGGTCTGTGGCTATCGTCTAAAAAAACAGGAAATTGAAAGGTAGATAGAGAAAGG